CCTACGATCAGTCCGATCTCTTCAAATTTCTTCTTCAGCTTTTCTTCATGGTTGACATACACCGAGGAGATGCCCAGGAGAGTCATGGAGATGAAGGAAGTCACCTCGTTGCCTGCTGAGGCGGTGTATGTCTCGACCTTCTCCTTCTTGGCTTCCTCAATCTGCTGCATAAACCACTCTCTGGATGCGTCACTCCATCCAGTCATCGCTTCTTGCAGAAGCTCACGTCGTGCCTGCTGACATGTCGAGCGGATGGCTTCTGCGATAGCGTCGGGGGTGCATCCCTCCACAGCCTTGCAAGCCTGGGCTGTCCTGCTGTTCGGATAACGCTTCGCGAAGCTCTTCACCCTCTCGACGAGATCAGCTTCGAGGACAGAGGCATCCACAAGTCCGCTCTGCGTGTATTGGCATGATCTCCGATACAGCAGGTTGCGAACATTTTCATCATACTGAAGAACCATACTTAGAAAGCTATTTGAAGTATACAAACCTCTCGCTTGCAGCTTCCTTGGCGCCCTGGCAGCTTCCCCTACACCACGCGTGCAGCCATGGTGCCTGAAATAACCGGCGCTCTAAACCCTAAACCCTAAACCCTAAACCCTAAACCCTAAACCCTAAACCCTAAACCCTAAACCCTAAACCCTAAACCCTAAACCCTATTATTATTATTATTATTATGTGAGTTTATTAGAATGCTAGAATGTTGCTTGGCCTCGTTGTGGGCTTGTGCAATTGGATCCTAGTCTAAAGAGGCGCTCGAGCACTGGGAGTACACGGGCCTACAATGCGAACCCTGCTTCTGAGGCGTCTTTCTACTCTCTACTTCTCCCTAAACCCTAAACCCTAAAGCCTAAACCCTAAACCTTAAACCCTAAACCCTAGACCCTACACCCTAGACACTAAACCCTATAGCCTAGACGCTCATCCCTATACCCTCAACTCTAAACCCTAAACCCTAAACCCTAAACCCTAAACCCTAAACCCTAAACCCTAAACCCTAAACCCTAAACCCTAAACCCTAAACCCTAAACCCTAAACCCTAAACCCTAAACCCTAAACCCTAAACCCTAAGCCCTAAACCCTAAACCCTAAACCCTAAACCCTAAACCCTAAACCCTAAACCCTAAACCCTAAACCCTAAACCCTAAACCCTAAACCCTAAACCCTAAACCCTAAACCCTAAACCCTAAACCCTAAACCCTAAACCCTAAACCCTAAACCCTAAACCCTAAACCGGGGGGGGGGGGGGCCCTAAACCCTAAACCCTAAACCCTAAACCCTAAACCCTAAACCCTAAACCCTAAACCCTAAACCCTAAACCCTAAACCCTAAACCCTAAACCCTAAACCCTAAACCCTAAACCCTAAACCCTAAACCCTAAACCCTAAACCCTAAACCCTAAACCCTAAACCCTAAACCCTAAACCCTAAACCCTAAACCCTAAACCCTAAACCCTAAACCCTAAACCCTAAACCCTAAACCCTAAACCCTAAACCCTAAACCCTAAACCCTAAACCCTAAAGCCTGACCCTAAACCCTAAACCCTAAACCCTAAACCCTAAACCCTAAACCCTAAACCCTAAACCCTAAACCCTAAACCCTAAACCCTAAACCCTAAACCCTAAACCCTAAACCCTAAACCCTAAACCCTAAACCCTAAACCCTAAACCCTAAACCCTAAACCCTAAACCCTAAACCCTAAACCCTAAACCCTAAACCCTATGTGAGTTTATTAGAATGCTAGAATGTTGCTCGGCCTCGTTGTGGGCTTATGCAATTTGATCCTAGTCTAAAGAGGCGCGCAAGCACTGGGAGTACACGGCCTACAATGCGAACCCTGCTTCTGAGGCGTCTTTCTACTGTCTACTTCTGCTGTCTTCTCTTGGCTTCCTCAGCCTCAGTCAGGAGAGTTGCCTCTCCTCACCTTGGCCTTCGGTCGCCTCCACCTTCTCTACTTACCTTGAGCTCAGCTCAAGCTCGGTACGGGCTCGCCCCGTCTTCTTCCTCGCCCTCGCCTTGCTCTTCCTCAATGTCTTCCTCTTCTTCGCCATCTTCCCTCATCTCCACCCGCAGTCGGTCCTTCTTGTCCACCTTCAGCGAGCAGGCCAGCACATGCATCTCTGCGAATTTACTCAGTGCTATGAACAGGAAGCTAAGAGATCGACGCTCTATATCGTCGCTCTCCGCCTCCTGCTCAAGCTCAGCAGCTGCCGTTGCCCGTGGCGAGAACGCGCTGCCCCTCCTTGCCTTCTTGCTCTCTCCTTGCACGCGAGTCCAGCGCTTGCTCTGCAGCCACTTCCCCAGCTTCTCCTTGAGCGCGTTGCGCCCAACTCCCTGCTCCTCTGGCGTCTTCGCCCACTCTCCCAGCGACATGAACTCCAGGCTCCCCGGAGAGTAGAAGGTGTCGTGGAGGTTGCCAACGGCCTTGTCCAGGACCAGCTTGATCGGCTCGCTCGTCCCCGCCTCGTTCAAAGAAGTTGCATCTTCGATGACTGCTGACAGCTCGCTGACGAGCTGCATGTCCTCTTGGCTTGACGGA